CCTAAAGAGACTGAACAGACACCTGGAGTACAAAAAATTCAAAATGCAAACCCTTCACTCGATATTAGCAAGCATCAGGAAGGGGGACCTTCTGACGTCCATAGATCTGACAGAGGCCTACCTTCACATTCCCATACGTCCGGACCACCGGAGGTTCCTCAGGTTCTACCACACAGGTCAACACTTCCAATACAGGGCCGTACCCTTTGGACTTTCTTCAGCTCCCAGGGTGTTCACAAAGATATTGGCAACAATCGCCGCGCACTTGAGAACAATTCCGGTGCGCATCCAATGCTATCTGGATGACATTCTCATCCAATCCTCATCGGTCCAGACAGCACAGTCAGACCTGGCACTGACTCTGAAAACCCTTCAAGACCACGGGTTCTCAGTAAATTTTCAGAAGAGTCAGACCGTTCCCTCAAACCGCCTTCTTCACCTGGGAGCGGTCATAGACACACAGAAATGCACGGTCCATCTCTCTCAGGACCGTCAACGCAGCATTCGGACCCTGGTCAGGCTCATCCGAAGGAAGCAGTCCTCAACGCTGGCTACACTCTCACAGCTGCTAGGAAAAATGGTGTCATGCCTCGCAATCGTACCTTGGGCAAGGCTGCACTCCAGAGAGCTCCAGTGGCTCCTACTTCCATTTCAAAGAGTGGGGATAGACGACCCAAGCCGAAGAGTGAAGGTGCCACCAAAGGTCCTGAGGTCGCTCCAGTGGTGGTCCTCCCCGGCAATGGGGAAGGGACACTTGTTCAGGGAAGCCAACCGAGTCACCCTTACAACAGATGCCAGCCTATTCGGTTGGGGAGCACACCTGCAATCACAGCTAGCACAGGGTCAATGGTCAAAGAAAGACCTAAAGCACAACATAAACTGGCTAGAACTCAGAGCCATACACCTAGCCCTCCGTCACTTCCGCAGCGCAGTGGCACACCGACACGTGCTCATACTCATGGACAACATGACGGCCAAAGCGCATGTCAACCGACAAGGAGGCACGCGATCCAGGGCCCTCATGAACGAAGCACAAGCGCTGGGAACCTGGGCAGAAAACAACCTAGCCTCCATCAAGGCCGAGCACATCTCAGGAGAAGCCAATCGCCAGGCAGACTTCCTAAGCAGGACAACGATAGACCATTCAGAGTGGAGCCTGCACCCTGC